GCTAGAATGAAAAGCCAACTTTCAAATTGAAATCACGGGGTAGGGGTTGCAGAAGAGGCACTTTACTTCTCTTACTCCCATTTCTGTCTCTTCTTATTTCACAATATGATAGAAAGCAAAAACGTGTCTGTAGGCTGGTAACCCGGAAAGAAAAAAAAGAAAGAGAAAAATAAGGGTGGAAAAGCATAAAGAAAGGGAAGTCAAAGATTCAAAACAGAGTTTGAACGACTAAAGCATTCTATGCAGTCAAGAGAATTAAAAAGCAGAGAGAATAAGGTCAAAGATTCAAACAGAGTTTGAACAACTGAAGCCCTCTCTCTATGCAGCCTCTAGTAGCTTGGAGCTGAAAGTTAAAATCACCTTTCTTAAGTTGCTTATTGATTGATAATATCAATGCTTTTACCTAATAGAAGAAAATTGAAAGAACAAGCAACATGTCAACTTACTGAAAAAGGTTTATATAAGGCTGTCAAATGATGGCAACACAAGTATTATTCATGTTGTACAAGGCTGACAATCTTCATTCCCCAAATGAAATCTTTATTAATCTTACTTAATAATGCTGTTTGGAGTCTTCTTATCCAATTAATAGCCTATGATATGTCGAAATAAACTTCCCAAGTACATTTGCATGTGGAAATGTTAGCATAAAATCAGTACAATCTACGAGATATGATACTATTTCAAGCGAAATTTGAGGATGTATGTTTGCATGTACACGTGATTTTAAGTTTGCCTGCGTTATTCATTCACTAGCTTTTTCCTTCTTAAGTTCCAGTCCTAGTGCATTTGCAGGTTAATGCTTGCACTGAATGGTTGAATTTTGCAGTTATATGCTTCTCTAGAATTGTAGAACTTTTGCAGCTTTTTTGATTACTCTTCACATGCTTGCCAATTTGCTTAATATTTTACTCATGATGTCTAGTAAGAGGTTTACTCCATCCATTTGATCAGGTTCTTACATTAATGGAAGAGTTTGGTGCCAAACCTGATGTAATTACTTTCAGCACCATCATGAACGCCTGGGGCGCTGCAGGATATATGGCTAAGTGCAGGGAGATCTTTGATGACATGGTCAATGCTGGCATTCCACCTGATGTCCATGCGTATAGCATATTGGCAAAGGGTTATGTCCGTGCATTGGAACCAGCAAAAGCAGAAGAGGTCCTGAATGACATGATTAAATCTGGTAATCGTCCAAATGTTGTGATTTTCACCACTGTAATTAGCGGATGGTGCACTGCTGGTAGAATGGATTATGCCATGAGGATCTTCGAGAAGATGTGTGACTCGGGAATATCTCCTAATCTGAAGGCTTTCGAAACTCTGATATGGGGTTATGCAGAAAATAAAAATCCTCGGAAAGCGGAAGAGGTAATCCAAATCATGGAAGCATTCAACGTTCAACCTGAGAAAAGCACCCGTCTGCTTGTTGCAGAAGCCTGGCATGGTGTTGGATTAGCTGAGGCAGCCAATGGAGTGTCCAACTCAGGTGAAAAGCAAAGGTCAACTAGCAAACTCGATAAGGAAGATGAAACAGAAGTGAAGAACTTAGAAAAGGTCTACCAGAAGGATGCTGTCTATCACTGTTATCCCAAATGTTTGCAGATACCCAATGAACTAATTAATGAACCAAAGGGGGCAGTAACTGCACTTAAAAGAAGCCGTATGGTGCTAAGAGAAACTGAATTTTCGTGTGATACTTTGTCTGCTGCAACAAGGTCATTGCATATTAGCTGTAGATTTGGAATGCGGGCTCCTGTGATTTGCCAGAGACAATTCCAAGTGCAGCTTTGTGCATCTGGTCAGGTTGGACACTCAAGTACAGCTGTGTTCTTGAACTGAAGAAAGAAGGGGCTGTAATTTGTGCACCTAAATGCAGCTGGATGTGAAAGTAATGTGCTAAGAGTCTTGTACATATAAAGAGTGACTTCAAATTGCTGATCTCTCCGAGTACATGGTTTTGTAAAGTTTTACTGATCTTTTAACTCAAATTTCTTCCATTTTATCTGTATACTGTGCAGCTGTGTAAATCATATTTGGATATATGCAAAGTCCAGTTGTAAATGCACTGTTCGATCCTCAGGATTCTTACCTCCATGAATAACTTTATGTAGTTTGAATGTTCACTGAGAAGTATGTCTTTAACTAGTTTATATTGGGACTCTTACCAACACTCATTTAGAATGAAAAGACATGTGGAACTAATTTTAAAGTAAACACAAGGAGAATCCAATGTATCAAGGCATGATTTTACTGCAAGACCATATAAAGAATGATTGTTAAAATGAAAAAGGAAAATGCTATATTTTCATTTTATATTACTGTTTAAACAATGAGCTCTTGCCAGATTACTAAACACTGTTTGTGCTGTCATCACATGTCCTAAAGAAACTTGGCAAAGTTAGCACAAGTTTCCACATATGGGTCGCATCAAACTGCATCACGTAGACACAATGTTTCAGCAAGTATATGATGCTCAGACTGGAAAGCCCAAAAGTTCACAAGCACATCCATATAAAGATTCACCACCACAATATTTTATCAAAAATAGTAGCAGAACATCCATTCATTGACTAATCTTCAAATGTTTTCTTTAAATCAAGTGACCTAAAAGATACAAAAAAGAGACAGCCTTTATAGTGGCTTAACACTTGTTAGATCCATGCTCCACGAATCACTCAACAGTTGACAAATCAGAAAAACTTAAGTAGCTGTCTTTGACTCGGAAGCTGTAGTGCTTGAGTAGACTGGGTGAAGCATATGACCATCCTTGGGCTCAACATGCACCCATTTGCGCCCACTCAGCTTGTGGTGCTCAAATTTAACACAGCCTTCTTTCAAAGCATAAAGTGTGTGATCTCTCCCAATTCCAACATAGTTTCCAGGATGAAATCGGGTTCCCCTTTGACGAACAATGATATTTCCTGGAATCACTCTCTGCATGTAAAAAACTGTGTATCAGCAAGAATTGGTTTCAAGAAAGTTCTATATGCAACAATGGAACAAAAAAGTCTCTTTGTGAAATGGCTGAATAGAAAAATTTCTCTGAACCGATTAAAATGCTTCATCCATTTTGTTCCAGAAGAGGAGATTTTCTTACCTCCCCCCCAAATTTCTTCACTCCTAGATTCTTTGGTTTTGAATCACGACCATTCTTTGTAGACCCTGCTGTCTTTTTGGTAGCCCACCGCCTAAACATCAAGCTCAATCCATCTCCAGAAACATCTTAAATTTGCAGAATGGAAACATATGTCAAGAGTCTCTAAACATTTCATCTATTACCAAAGCATATGGTTCAGGAAAGAATGGAAAACATACCACTAGCGGTATTGTAAGCAGGTGTGCTTGTTACCAGCTCTCTTATATTTAACCTCCTAAACAACGATGTTGCAGCATTCATCATGTAATTCACCAAAACCACGCTAGGGGCTGAAGAAATGGATTAGAAGGTAGGTTAACTACAAGATTAGTTCATGTGTGCACCGGCATGAGCATTTGCAGCTACTCAACTATTTGATTAGTCCCCCATATAGAGAAAAAATTTCAGAACAGATGCCCCGTATCACGATACTTACTTTAAACCCTTCCAACCACCAATTTCATTCCCTAATACCCCATCCCATAATGAAGAGGATTTTCTCCGGTCAGAGTGGAAGAGACAAGGAAGGTTTTTTAGTTATGCATTTCACATTCTACTAACGAATAGTCCAGGTTAGTCGATTCCTCTCTCTAATAATCAATAATCACACTGTACATTTTTTATTATGAATTCTCCAGCATATTAACCTAACTCAATTGGTTTAGATGAACAAATTTAATTTTAAGGATATTTTAATTTAATCAAGGGTCATTTTGATAGAAGCATTCCTAATTTCTCTCAGTGTAATAATATATCTAAGAAAAATACAAACTCAAATCAAAATTTGGGTTCATAATACAAACTCAATCCCAGGTCTGATTTCAATTCATAAAAAGTTTGAATCAATTCATTTAAAATTTAGATATTTGCATGATCCAAAGGGCAAATGTAATAACTTTGATATTACTTATCTTTTTAACAGAAGCAACAACTTTGGACTCATTACTCAAAGTGGAAACAGAAGAAGACAACTGATTACAGGGAGGAATAATACTAACAAAGTACAAGAGCGGCTCAACCCTAAAGTCAGGCACTAAAGCAGTAAATCACTGTAGCTCCAAAAGAACCAAAAAGCCCTAAATTCAGTTCAAACACACAATGATATAGAAAAACGAAGCTCAAATACATCTGAAAACGTACAAAAAAGAAAAAAATTCGACCCATAGGCAAGATCAAACGAAGAAATATATCAAATCCAAAAGCAGAGCAGTAGAACACAGAGACGGTAAACCCAAAATATGAAAGAGATACAACATACATACCTGGGAAGGGAAGAGATAAAAAACAGAGTATCAGTTTGAACAAATTAAAATGTTAATGGCTCACAACACACAAAATGAATATAAATCGTTAGTACTTGAAATTTTCTTAATGTAAGGAATTGAATTTTATTTCTTCATCTTTTTCTAATAAAAAAATAAAATAAAGATAGTCAAAAGAATTTATTTTCGTAAGCTCTTACATATTACTATAAAAAAATTATTTTCAATAGCCTATTCTTCAAAGTACTACTTGCAATGCAATTTTATATAGCTAAGTTCATATTTCACGAATAATTTTATTGCATTAACCATCAATCTTCTGTCAATGAGTCCTTTAAGTACATTGAATTTGTAGAAGCAAAAGTAGTAAATCCGGCAGAAGAACAAGTTTAACATCAACAACTTGTGCTTCCGACGTTAAGAATTCTTCCAATAATTCCGAGTCCGAGTCGTTGTAGCACTGCTATTTAACATGACACACTTGGAAAAGATCTAACATGAAAGTTGATATATTACAACCAGCACGGTTGTTCCTATTTCATTTTCTTTCTTCTTACAAGCCCTTCATAGATAGAAAAAAATACAAATAACAGATGGAATTTGGAAAAGATCACTTAAAAATTGGCCACAAAGGTTCACCACCACGCCCCAGTGGGGCTCTTCTATTCAATTCACAAGGTACAAAAAAGTGATTTTTTGCCGGAGAAATACAGGGTAGGAGGGCATGAAACACTCATCTTGGCTCATGTTGTACACCACATTGTGACTCTTATTGAACTTGCAACAAAATGAAATTACAAAAGGGAATGTGAATCCTCCACTAATACTTCTAAGGAGTGTTACAACAAGAGGGTCGTCCGAGTGACTATGAAAACCCAAATTTGGACAAGGCTGACTGGAACAACTCTGAGAAGGCCTGAGATGTACTCTGATCATCAGCTTTGATCTTTAACTGTACTTTACACGACGATGAATTAACTACACACTCTACAAGATAGGTAGACGGCTCCTCTGCTTTTTGTGCATAGAAGAAGAACTTGAAGTTCGGGGCTTGACCACCAGAAGCTATGCAATGGATTGAATGGCCTTGCATATGATGGATAAGTGTTTGAGATGTCATAATAGCCACTCCTTGTGGATTAATGGAAGTTTCCTGGTAAAGGAACAGAGAAAAGTAGTATCAAGATGAAGGCGATTCAACAACAATAAGGGAGGTCATAATAGTAAAAGTTACCATATTCATATCAAGGACACAGATAGTATACAAGTATCCAAAAGTTACAAGGCTACAATCACCGACTCACATTAATACAACACACTTTTTTTCCGAATTGTTGCAAATAGATGGCATTTTTCCTATAAAAGTGAACACAGAAAAAAATTGGACATCATGCAACAGTGCAATCGTATCAGAGGGAAGAATTTATCCAATGAAGCTTATTCGACCAGCAATTACTGCTTGATACTTCCAAGTTCCAATAAGTTTTGAAGTTCTAATTTACAAGTAATAACACAAATTAGTGAAATGATTTTTTTTTTGAAAGAGGTAACAGAAAATTCCTGACATGATTCAAACATTATTTTCTTGTGAATAGAATTTTTAGAGCGGACAAATATAAGGCAAAGTATCAGACTGTGCAAGATTTTCTGGCAATAACTGCCTCCTCAGTAACACCTGATATAAGCGAAGATTCAAATGTTTCCTCTTATACCTCTAATAGAAACTATTCAGTATATCCCTGAATGTAATGGAAAGAGCACAAGCCACACTCTAATTAAGCTGAAGCTGTAAGTAGTTCAACAGAATCCTACAAAATGCTCTCTCCAGGCAGTGGAGGTATTTCCTAGGTCTGCCTCTAGTGAACAAAAGAAATGATCAAGAGATCACATACTAAAAGTAAATGTGCACCTGTGATATTGATATTGGAAGTTGACGCCATTTCTGCTGGAAAGCGTTTGGTTCTAGAGCAGCTTTAGTGTTGAGCTTCAAAACAGGAGGTGGAGGAGGGGGGCTGGCTGCAGCAGGCAAACCAAGACCAAGTAGATCATCAATTGCAAAAGTAGCTGATGGCACATTTGGAGTAGGTTTGTAATCCAAGGAAACAAGATCAGTTTGAGATGGTGCAGCCAAAGAACCATCATATCCAGGAGCACTGTATGCAGAACTATTGTGGATAGAACCTTTGCTTTCTTCTTTATCAGAAGTACTCAAAAGTAAATCCTTATCATTTGCCTCGATTCTCAGTGCTGGGACTACATTATCAGTCGATTCTTCCCCAAGAGATAAATTTCCAATTTCCTCGGAGAAGGCAAATGGCCCTCTATGTTCCTTGTCAGTGAACATGTAAGAAGGCTGCAAAAATGGTTACGCTTGAGAAATAGGTAAAGTAGATTACTAGGGTCTTAGCAAAGATAAAAATGAGAAACATGTTTTATCCTTTAATATATGTAGTAACACTGAAATTACACTTCTGATTATATTCCTCAAATTACACAATTGATGAGAGCGAAGAACATCTGGGATACCTTTTGATAAACAACAGAGAGGCTGTTAAACTCATCGAAGATACGATCTTTAATTTCATTACTTTGTGTATCAGCAAAGACAGAAACAGCTTGCTTTGGAGGATTCACCACACGCTCTGCTATGGAGACATTGTACTGCAGAAGTCTATAGTATAATAATGCCCTGTCATGGACATCCTGCAACAATTCTTGACATCATTTAGAGGCACACAAACACTTCATACTCATATCTGTTAATCAACTGCCTCAATTTCAATCAAGTTGGGTTAGGTGAAAGAATATGTTGCAACTATTCTGTTCTATTTGGGCCTACTCAATAATTTGTCTCTTATATCAGTCATTATCTAGAAAAATAAAACAAACAGATGGGATACCTGATGAAAATCATTAACACCAGCAGCCAACGCAGCTCCCAAGGCTTTCTGAGTCTCTGGCGGTCTTCTAAAAAAGCACTTAACTACTGCTGTAAGAAGATGTAAACGAACCTGCACAACACATTGAAGCCAAGTCAAATAAAACCCCATAGACATTTTATACCTCATAAATGAAAAGGATAGAAGAACTATAATTATGCTGTTTAAGCTAACATGTCAAACACTACGAATATGAGCAGTTCAGTAACACAAGTTGGAGAATCGACAGCACACATAGAAATAACAGAGATTAAAATACAGGTAACATCTGCAGCCGGTCACACACAGTAAGGCAGTGCATCTAAAAGATCAAAAATTGTACAAGAGGCTTTAAATACAAGAAGGTGTTAGAATCCCCACTTGAAGAACAGGTTCTTCCATTTCCTTTCCAGATAAAGCCAATTCTGAACAAGACCTCACCTGGAAAGCCCAAGAAAAAGAAAACAGCATGCGTACCAAAATCAAGACAACAAGGTTGTTATCTCGTACAAGCATTAAAGACTACGAAGGTGTGGTTCTGTGAAGGGAAAGATAGGCACGAATCATTCTGTTATAGCTTTACACTTTATAACAATAGTCAACACTTTATACTTTTTAACGTGGCATTATATGTATGCAGTACAAAATAGCGGACTTAATAAAGCATTCTTGGAGCTTTATCACAATAACTGAATTTGTTGCAAGAGCATGTGAATGGTCTGACCTGAGTCAACATCTTATGTATCTTATTTTATTATATGTATAACACTTTTTCCTCTATGAAAACTACATTTACAAATGCCTTTTAACACACGCCAACCTTCATTCTGTTAGAGGATCCCAATCAAGAAATTCACATTTTTATTTCATTAATTTTCATTGCCACACAAAAGCTTTTCTTGTATCACTTCAAAAGGGAAACTAATGACCACGGATGATATGAATGATGTGGATGGCTTCAAAGTTCAAACTATAGAATCGAGAGATCCTAGATTGAAGCAATCAGGAAGGAGGCAACTGAACATGGGGACCACCTTTTGCAATTTTGCCGTCATCACCTTTGTACTATGCAAGTCATTCACTGACTTGCATCAACAAACTACAAGGTTACTGACAAAAGTTAGGGAGAATCAATGCTTACTCCAAACAACAAATCATTTTCAAGACTTAGGGCCTTCCAAATGAGACTGATCAGATTAGAAAGATCAACAGCAGGGCACGAAGGAGTACAAATATACTTGCATAGGAAGAAAAGCCAAAAACATAAAAAAGAAATATGCAGCCTGATTACCTCTGCAGAGTGCTCCTCTTCCCAATTCTCAATAAGACTCTCCAATACGTAAGGAGCATCTTGCATGTCTTGAGCATATTCCCCCAACATCCAGATAAGAGCTGCCTTGGCTTTGGGTTCCTGGACATTTTTGCTACTAATATTCCCTACAACTGCTATACAATCATGGCTCCATTGAGGATATTTCCTAAGGAGATCTTTCACAAGTACCTACATGAGAAAAGCTTAAATGGTCAGACCAAACAAGAATAGAAAGACATGAGGTCTCGCGTAATTTCACATGTTTAATGCACTATTCCTCTAAAGCAATATCATTAGAGGCTATTGAGATGCAACCCCCACCCACCCACCCCATCCACCCTAAAAAAATGAAGAAAAAACACAAAAAATAAGGGAAATGAGTGACAACATACCAGAGTTTCCGCAGTCACATGGTCCTTCTCCATTTCCAAAAACTGGAGAAGCCTATCTACAATTGCATTCACATCATATTGTTGTAATGCTATTTTGCCGACAGCCCTGATCGATTCTCTCGCCATGGGAATGTCAACATTTGCAGCATATTCACATAGTTCCGTCACTGAAGCCAATCCGCAAAGAAATCAACATCAGACTGGCTAGTCAAAAATGCAAACTAGTCGGGAGGCGATAACTTGAAGTTTTATAAAATTTGGATATTAAATCCCTTGACAGTACTCAGATGACCTAAACATCACCACACAAAAAGAGATTTATCGATTTAGTCATCTCCTTCGTTCAGTCTTATTCTCTATCTTAAGCATGGTGCACATTTTATACTCCATAACCGTTGAATCGACATCCTTTTTTGACAAGATATTCAATACATGTTAGGAAGTGATTCTCAAGATGTTGTTTCCGCATCACCTATGTTCCAAAAACTCACCCTACTCCCATCACCCACTGTCCCACTCTGAAATATACATTTTCATTGAACTCTTCTCACCCCTTTTTTGATGCAAGCCAAGTTCCATCAAAACCTTGCACACAAAGCCGAGTTAAGGAGTTGGTAGATTTTTCATCAAGACGCTACTTTGGAGACTTGGGGGTTCGGGGGTGCTTGAAATGAAAAGGCATGAAGCTCAAGAACATGTTTCTCACACCCCAAGCAAGCTCAAATACACATCTTCAAGCTATACTCTCTTTGATCATGAAGACGGAGCACTTGAAGGTCATCGAAGGTTGACACATGATGGCCTTCAAGATTTGGAAGATAGTTTGGATGAGAGAAGAAGATGTAGCCTTATACGTAGTAGCTAGTCTAGACATAGGGGAGAATAGCTCAGTTAGACCTAGATTTTTTTTTGATGTGTTGAATTCTCATGAATTGAGTATACTCTTGAGGGAGTTTGAGGCTAAGACCTTTGTTTCTTGACAATGCTTGATGAGATTGCTTGCTTGAGGATCATTCCTCTTGAGTGTGTCTATAGTATAGGTGCTTGTTTGGTGTTCTTAATAGGAGGTTTTGGTTTTGATATAGCCATTGTTGCATGTTTGCTCATTTTTGTGTCTTGTTCTATAGAATTGGTGCTTATTGGAATATTGCTAATTGGGGGTATTGTTGTCATACAACCATTGTTCTCAATTCTTATTCAACTTGTCTCAACCATTATTCTAACATTTTTCTTTCACCATCACTAATGTAGTATATAAGTCAACATCTCAAAATCCATATCCAGTCAAATATATAGAATAAAAGTGAAAGAACAAAATATTCACATATATGGATGAGCAATATAGGCAGGGTCTTTACAGGACAGGAAGAAGCACATTTTCCAGGAATTTCCTTCCACCAGATAAATTTGTGTTAGATAAGGAATGAGTGCATGCACATATAGTATTTTTCTTATAAGCACGCCTATATAGTTTTTAGCAAGAAAGTTTCATTTAAGAATTTGATTGGAATAATACTTCATTTAAATTTACTGATCACTTTTTTTTCAGCATAAAACTACTACTAGTTTTACTGATTTACCACTTAGTTCAACTGATTATTGTACAAATTCACTCTTTCTTACCCTTACCCCCCCACCCACCCCTTCTTAAATTTACACAGCTTTACAACTAATTTTACTAATTATTGTGCAAATACACTCTTTTCTTACCCTTATCCCACCTTATTTTTTTTTTCCAGATTTGTGGCTGGGCAACACCAATAATCTCTTTGATCAGGATCTGACACCAGGAAATAAGGTATACACAAAGACCTTGAGGTAGAAAACTTTCATTTAGTTGACTGATATTGATACTCACCAATTTCGTATGTATTGCTCTCATTTGCCACGGCAGTCAGCATCTCAAGCTTTAGCTTTTTGACATAAAATGGCTCATTGTATTGGCAGTAGAAGTGCTTGTAGTCAGCTGAAAAAATATAGGGTGCACGCATCACCAGCAAATGTAGATGGCTTAGCACAGCATAGGATTGCTCTGGACCTCCTGAGCTAACTAATGTAAGTAGAGGTGCTTTTATACGCTCATATACCTAAACAGAAGAATGAATAAATGAAAATTAAAATTCAGCCATAGTTAAAAATTAAGATGCCTCAAGAAGAAAATTACAGAAGATTTTGCGCAGACTATATTTTGAGTAACAGCATTTTGCATTTTATGCAGCTGTTAGGTAACAAAGGTTGTCAGACCATTAATTACAGAATAGTTTAGGTGGTTACATAGCTAAGTGTGAGTAGTCATAGTTTTACATGACCTCCATAGGGTTAATATAGTCATGACCACTGTAAAGTGTTTTCCTCAACATGAAAATTCTAATGTGTGCCTATAGAATGAATAATATTTCAAACATTAGCTTTTGTGCATTTTCTCACTATCTCCTCCTTGTTTCTCTATAAGCTCACAGAGACTAAATCTGGTAAAACATTTAAAACCAATAGAGCATGGGAACCTCATTTGTCTATAAACTATACCAAAGGTTTGTTCCAAGGTTTTGCGTGATTGACAGCTAGGGGACCAATACTGACAACCAAAAATTTGAGGACGAAGAGGATCATCATATATGTAAGCTAGTTCTATATGTAAATGAGAGAAGATGTGGATCACCTCATGTTGCAGTACTAGATATCAATACAATTGTGGTGGGTGGTTTTGAATTGATTCTGAATACAATGGATGATGCCGAGACAAAATCCAAGATTTTTTTTGGACTGATCTTCAGAATATTTTTTTTTGAAAAGGTAACACTTTTATATGTATCCAAAAATTAGACCTGACACAAACAGTTACAGGTCACCATAGTTACTAAGGAGTATCAAGAAGATCTTCAATCCTACAACAAAAGCTTATATAGAACCTAAGACATCCATAAATGATTCTAGATCTTCTATATACTCCTATTTACACCAAAAATAGAAGGCATAATGCATAAACATGACCCTTAACTTGACGTCAGTTGACAACTATGACTTTAACTTTGGGTGTGTACAAGTAGGCCTTAAGCTTGTATAAAATTGAGCAAATGGACACATTCGTCCTACATGGCACCCTACATGACAATTTTGTGTCCTACATGGCGTCCTACGTGTATTGTGCCATGTAGGACACTTGTGTCTACTTGTTCAATTTTATACAAGTTTAAGTGCCTACTTGTGCACATTCAAAGTTGGAGGGCATAGTTGTTCACTGAAGCCAAGTTAAGGGTTATGTTTATGTATTATGCCAAAATAGAATAAAGCATGGCAGACATTTTGGGTGTGAAGTTGAAAACTTCCCTACAATATATCTTGAACTGACACATTTAGGGAGCACGACAAGCTACAGGATGACGCGGTGAGATGAACATTATGTGAGAGGAGATTGGCCACATGGAAAAAGCATACAACCATTATTAGTATTGGATGAAATTCCATATTTACCAGTGCACTCAATGATCCCTTCAAACATTGTTAACCAACTAGAGAAAATAAGGAGAGCCTTCCAACGGGATGGCAACTCTGAAAGAAGTAGTATCCATCTAGTAAAGTGGCCCGCAGAAACAACTCGAGAAAGGTGGAGTACTTTGAGGGTTAAAAACCTGAAACTCCAAAACAAAGGCCTACTCTATAAGTGGTTATGAGATTTGGGATATGAGCAAGTACACCCCTGCAAGAAAATTATTTTAAGAAAAAAAAGTATGTGGGGGTGTGGGTGTGGAAGAGTTCTGGTTCACCAAATCAGCAACCGGTTACAGTGGAGGCGCCCTCTGGAACAGATAAGGATATGATGGGGGGATTCCACCAGCTGGCTCAGCTCATGGGAGATGGAAGAAAAACCAGAATGTGGGATGTCGCAAAGTTTCAGACCTTTAACCAATGGTTGTGAATCAGGAAGAAAAATTAACCATACGAAGTTGTAGATGATTGTAAAATGAAATTGAGGGTAAGCTCCACAATTGTTACACAACAAATATGTACTAGAGTTCTGGAGTGTTTTCCTCAACATATTTGAAGGGTGATAAGTCATGAAAGGCAGCAATAACAAGTTGACAAGAACAATGCATTATAGAACTTCCCCTAATTGCATGGAAGACAGTAAAATCCACCATCTTTTGAGCAGTTTGAAAGGAGAGAAATAGCAAATGTTTTGAAGAACTATTTTTTTACATTAAATATAAATGTCTGTAGATGTTAATTTCTTGCATAACATGATTTTTGTATATGATACTAATTCTTTAGTGCACTTGATAGATTTCCTGTAGTGTAGAAGAGACTTCTGAGTCAAAAACTATGCTTCAGCCCCGAAGAAGTTAGGGTCCGGTAAATGAATCCTCACTGACCATGTTTCTGTAATAAAATATTGATCTCAAGCTGGATATCAAAAATAAAATATTCATCTCAGGCCAGTATTTGACAAAATAAAATCAAAAACAAAAGTACTAGAAGTTTTGTATATATTTTACTGGCATACAATACAAAATCGTACTAGGGCTAAAAGACTCCTCTAGAAAGCGTAGGATGGTAAGTAAACAAACTAAAATGACTAAATCATATCCTCTACTAAATGATGTCAAACATATAGGGTTTTTTTCTTTCAATATTTTGCTAAGTTCCATGAATTCCAAGAAATTGTAGGATAAAAAAAGAGAGGACCTCTTAGTCCCTTATATGTACATAACATGCATTCTGTTGGTGCAATTTAGTAGAGACGTTTAAATTACTTCAAGAGAGAGAGAGGGTTGTCATAGGTTGATGGCTAGCACGAAATAGTCAATGATACATGCAATTATTTGATACAAAGGATTCATATGGCCAGCTCCAACTAATTTGGAATTAAGGTGATGATGTTAATTGATAATACATGTAACAATATCGAAAAGGATAAAGTTAAGGCTAAGGAATTGCTGAGTTACTGCCTTACAGGAGGAAATAACCCATCAGAAATAACCAACTCATTGGATATTTACATTTTATGTGTAATGTACAGAGGATTAAGATTTTAAAATTGGGTCATTTGACAATTCAAGCTGCAGGAAACATTAGTTCAAGCTGTCTGTTTTCCCTGTATAACCATATGGGATCTCAACTGACTACAACTTAAACAGCAGTTATCATAAACATCTGAATTTCACATGCCCCCTCTTACACAAGGCAATTTGGACCAAGAAGATAATAAATAAAAGTTAAAAGGAAACGAGCTGTCAGGAAGCATAGTCAGAAGGCTAGTGGAAAATAAAGACAACAAAGTTAGTTGACTTCTTGGACAGTAAACAATTTAGCTGAATTATTTTTTTGTGTTGACAAGGGAACCCGCAGACGCTATCCTTCGAGTGCGGACAGAGCAAGCCTTGTTCCGGTGTAATGACCCGCAAACCACACAAGAGAGGTAAACTGCACTAGGCAAGCCCCGTGCAACAAGCTCGACCGAGAAAGTATGCAGGGAGTTTGAGCCTAAGACCCCCATTTGGGAGATCACCCACTCAACCAACTTGGCCACCCTTGCGGGTACTTTAGCTGGATTATTAGTAAAAAGAGATGGCCGAGCAACCATAGACAATACCATCTACTAAGGAAACTTTTCAGATGAACACTAAAATGGGAACCTGTTGATGAATGTCAGCCATGGAGAGTGTCAGTTGCAGAAATAACTTGATTGTTGCCAAGACAACAGCACCATTAGCATGTTGAAGCCTATCTTCAAGAAGATTCATCATGTCAAATATCTCACTACTGTCAGAAGGCACATACTTAGAAACCAGATCAAGAACAGCGCATTGAGCCCATTCGCTGAATTCCTTGAACCTGCACAATCATATTTGAAAGATAAGGCAATCTCTCACGAGAAAGTCCAAACACCACAATGCAGAGTAAGGGAGCTAGAGAGGTCTACTAATTTTTTCATGGGATTTGACAAAAAAAAGATAGTAAAGTCAACATTGACACAGAAATTTTATCATCCGTGTAGTATAACTGTTTTAGCAGATTAAAGAAAGAGCCTCCCATGCAAAAGAGTCTTACATTACTGCAAGATCATAAACGGCAAGAGAAAATATTAAACATGTAACAAAATGACAAAATATAGAGAGGAGAGTGGGAAATTTAACTATTCAAAGAGATATCCTCACCGAGCACTTTGAGCTAGTTTACAACCTGCCTCTTCCCAAGTACACTAGGCTTTTAGAAAACAAAACTTTGTTTCTTTGATAGAATAGTCCAAGAATTTTTTTGATGACCAGAATACATAGTGCAATAATAAAAAGAAGATAAAACTAATTGCAGTCCATCTTTCAGTTGAAGGATCGGGACTGTAAAGGGCATTGAAACATTACATTCCCTCCAGAGTATTACTGTTAAATTGTCTACTTCAAATTACAACCGAAGGCAACTTTTTGATACATCATTGGTCAAAAGCAGAAAAAAGCTTACTAAGAGTTCCGCAATCCTGAAAACTTTTCTCCAGAAACCATTGGTCAAAAGCAGAAAATAGCTTTAAAAGTATTTCAGTCATTTTAACAGAGAAGTGTTTCTCACCACTTATTTATCAAACACACCAACGGTTTATTACTTCCTCCATCCCAATATATGTCACACTCTTTCCTTTGTAACTAGTCCCGAAAAGAATGACATTTTTCCACATCTAGTAACAGTTCCACTTCAAACTTACACTATCCTTGATGAAATAATTTTAGCCACAGAAATTTCTATGGCTTATTTTAGACCACAAATTTCAAAAGTCTTCTTTTTTCCCTTAAACTCTGTTGCCCAGTCAAACATCATCACATAAATTGGATGGAGGGAGTATTAGTTTGCACTTCTATTCACACGTAACTACTTTTTTGTAAAATCAGTTTAAACACTTTTTTTTTTTGAGACAAAAATCAGTTTAAACACTTGAAAGGTACTTTTCAACTAGTGATGTTATCAGCTTCTTTCAATTAGCTAAGCTAAATAGACTCTTACTTAAAAAGAGAAAACAATATAAGTCACATGTCTAAGACGAATAAGGAGAGAGAAAGAATACGAAAAGGAAAGATGAATAATTTACTGTAACACTGTATGCATGACAAGTTGATTAGCATCATCAAGATGCAGCAAGGTATAGCTTTACATCTTTTTCATCTTTTACTAGTGAACTTCATAAATGAGTTTAACAAAAAGGGAAACTTTGGAAATTTTCTCCTAATGAGAAAAAAAAATTAGAAGAAATATACGGACACACAGGAGGAGGAAATGTTCGAAACAAAAAAAAAAATAGAAGATATAAAACAAGAAGTCAAACCATTCCCTTTGGAGATCAGTTTAATATACAACTATGCTTGATAAAAGAATTAAGTTAACATTCACCTCTAAACAAGCACTGAAACCATTCCTTTTGGATATTGGTTTAACTCCAGAAATGAGAAAACAATCCATCTGAATACCTGTTAATTATCCCTTAAGTATCCTTACTATATAAGCTAGCTATTGAGGTTGAGTTAGACCTACAATCCATTTTTCTTATATGGTGTCAGAGCTAGACACATCCTAATTCTAGGTTTGTCCAAATGTCCAGGCTTGACATGTAGGGAGGAAGGGAGGCTAGTTAAGTGTCCTACATGGATCGAGGAAATGAGTTGTGTCTCCTTGTATGTCTTTAGGAAATTCTCATCCCATAAGCTTGTCCTTGGGGTTAAGTTAAGCAAAAAGTCCTTTTTATTTACATGGGTATTACAAACAAACCTATCCATGTTATTTTCTTTCCCTATCGTTGGATTCTTATATTATATTATTCACACTCTAATTGTTCAAGCCTGGACATGAGAGGAGGTATTAGTATGTCCCATATTGGTTAAGAGAATAGATTGATATCTTCTTATATGGTCTTGGGCAATTATCAGCTTATGAACTAGCATATTTAAGCTAGATATATCCCAAATCAAAACTAGATGCATAATTTTGTTTTTGAACATTGTAGTATCGTGCTCCATCTGAATACAAACTGCAAGCATAGTACTTTCATAACGAATTACCTTTCTACAACAATTACTACACCTCAATCCCAAGTAAATTGTGGTCGGCCATATGAATCATCATTAACCATGTCACTCCATTTAAACTCATCTCCGGCCAATGTAATACATAATACAAAAAAAATAAAAAATTAAGAAGTACTAGAAATTCCCAATAGCTTCTACAGACCTATAAATCTCTGACAGGACTGAAAGACTACAAGAAAGTATATGACCTAGAGTAAACATACTGACGTGACTAAAACATATTAATAAGTGTTGCATGTATGGATCTTTTTCTTCATTTGTCACCTACTTTTTCTCTAAGTTTGCATCAACTCCAAGAGATTGAAGATAATCAAATGTAAAGAAATTCACTAAAACCATCAGTGCTAACATCCTTCTCCTATGACAGCAAACTATCCTAAAGCATATTCCCTCCAGGAAAGACGATGCATAAACAAGTGCATGTAACCCATACTTTTTCACAATCAACAAGATTCGATGATTTTGTTTTTATCCCAAAAAATTTACATTATCATTGAGTCCCTGAAGACGACAAAAGACTTTACATGTTACTGGCCATTCTAATCTGAAGAAACTATTAAAATTCTCTGCAACGTGCCACTAAACTAAAAGCATATTAGCCTTTAGGAATGCAGATTTACTAGCAACACTTATGTTCTATAGCATTCAAGCAAGCTAAACTACTTGAAATCCTCAAAGTCTCACAAATACAAGACCTTCCTAATGTTTAAAACCAATAAGGTATGTAAGGAAGAAAAAAAAACAGTATCGCACCAAGTAAGACATAAAGTACATATCAACTTAATTCAGAAATTAGTGTAGAAAATTACACCACCAACAGGTTTTTTTTTTCTTTTTGATTTGTACACAGTTGATTTACTCCATACAGTACACAGACATGATCACCAAAAAGTAAGAAAGCAGATTGGAGATTATATGCAATCAAGTAGTTATGACAACAGTCTACCTATTCAAAAGGTAATAAATAAGTGGCTTGCTTAGCAGGGTTTCTCTTTCTGTTGATGCTTCCTCAGATTTGGTTGCTTCCAAACCCCAGATTTCCTGTAGAGCGCACAAACAGTTGGCTACAACCTGAAGAAAGAAGAAAGATGGATATGATGAGTAAATGATAAAGCTAAAGATCATGATAGTACTGCTTCTTTTGCACATGAAATTAGAGTTGCTAAATGTTTTCTGGTGATAAATAAAGAGCTTTGAGATTCTTTGAAAGGCATTCTATGTTGATGCATGTACATGGAAATAAACCATGATTGGAGAATCTTAAACATATTGGGAACTGGATCAACACTTAATAATTGTCTGAAGCAAAAGATGAAGACTAAGGAAAGATATGTCAATTTTTCTTAGAGTAGCGCCATTCTATATACAAACAATACAAACTAGGTGACATCTGAAGACTATTACTTGAAAGTAGCACGTACTCTGGGATGGTAAAAACAAGAAATTCAATGCCATCTATTTTTAACTGAACAAAAAGAACCACACAGAGAAACTTCCATCAACCTGAATTTTCTCTTCTCTCAAAAGTAAACTAGCTTCCAAACCATAGTTTAAGTTCTCTATTGCTTTTCACACGAGGAACCAATCAAGCTTCTAGAAAATTGATCTATTTCTCTCAAATTTATCAGAAAACATTGTAAATATTGAAATGATTATCTGTTATGACATGCATGGAATCCTCACCATCTATGCTGAAATGCTACCCAATGGAATAGAGAGAGAAGGAAAAACTGAAACCACAAAAGAGGGAAATCTATGGGTACATCAAAAAAGCGTGTCCAACTACTTTGTTGTCATTGAAAGTCATGTAGCAACCAAATAGTAGGTGATAATTGCTTTGAAAACTCAAGCACAAGAAACAGATGAAAAGAAGAAAGATGTCATGCAGATTACAATGCCAGACCTGAGCTTCTCGGTCATTCAGCATCAAGTGCTTAAGCGTGGCAGGAAAATCCGCATCCATGCAAGTTGATTCTGAGATATGGTACAACTTCAAAACACCCATGGTTGCAACTGTCCTAACATAACTATTTGAATCCTTCAACCCTGCACCCAAGGGGCCAACCAAGTACTCGACCAAATTTGTCACCCGCAAAGAACACAAGCTCCGTAGAGCCAAACCACGAATCATGGGATCTTCATCTTTGCAATCCCTCTGAAGAAAATTAATGGTCAAAAGCGCGAGATCTGGGTTGTGTTTAGCATAGTTACCAACATAAAGGTAGCACATCTTCTTTAGCACAATGTCTGAGGTTGCTGAGCACATAACCATTTCGCTGAAAACTGAAGAAACGTCGATCCCAATTGTCATACACGAGATCACCTTCTTAAACAACTCCCTCTTTGCATCATCAGTACCCGGAGCTCGACTACCCGCCAACTGCCTAAGCTGCGTCTTCAAATCCGAAACTTCCCCTTTTCTGCCCCAATCAAAATTAACATCAGCATAATTTCACACATTGTTTTATACTGCATGTAAAACTCCAACCTTCGCCATTTTGAAATCCCTAATCTTTATTTACAGCAAGCAAAGCTCATTTTCAACCAGAAAATTGCCTTATGCAATTATAATAAAATAAGACACATGATACCAAACAAACATTAGGTTATTAATACAGAATAATTTCGCAAAACTAGTGAATTTTGAATTGGTGAAATTTCTTTAGGTCAATGTAGGAAATACCCATGTCATGATCGAAGCTAGAAAGTCCAATTTTGATCGTTTCTTAAGTAGTTCAGTAGTATTTCCCACTTGGATATTTCAAGAATTCAACTAAAGACAATTAATTTCATCCCCTTTTCCAAAAGGGTCAGGAACAAGACAATGAAAAACAGGAAAAAGGTCATACTGGGTGTGGGGGTTTTGAATTCTCCATCCTAAAGGGTATACGAAAGAGAAAAAAAAAACTGCAAGGAAAGAAAGGAAGGAAGAATTGTTACCCGGAAGGTTGAGAAGGTGAAGGTGATCGATTAGTTTGAGCTGGAGGAGCCATTGATGCACACCCACTGGATCTTGATTCTTTGTCTCTACAAGAAATGGATCTCAGTTTTGGTTTATGTAATCCCACAGTGCAAAGGATCAAATCAGTATTGGAGAGAGTTTTTGCTTGCTGGTGTTCTGAGGCTTTCTGGCTTTCTCTCGCTAGTGTGACATGGATGTGGAAGTATCAATATTTACTTACATAGCCCTTGAAATTGGTGAATATGATACATTTGCCTCGCAAATTAATAAGTAATGTTGAACACATTAAACTCAATTTCCACATGAATATAAACTTGCTTTCTAAGCCACTTGATTTTTGCCTAGTATTAAGAGTAAGAGATTTTATTAGTAGCTTTAATACAAAAATAAAGGGATAAGGGTCTGAAAAATATCTCAATTTTGGTTGGATTTGCTGTTGCGATACTAAACTTTCATAAGGACCTATTACCTCCCTAGACTATTTAATACCGTATTTTTTACCCCATGAACTATTTAATAGTGTATTTTAAAGGTATATATGTGTCCACGTGGACACATTACTATTTATAATTTTGCATTATTCTTTATGTCCACGTGGGAAAATATATATATTTAAAATACAGCATTAAATAGTCTAGGGAGGTAATAGATCCTCATGAAAGTTTAGTATCGCAACAGCAAATCCGACCAAAGTTGGGGTATTTTTCAAACCCTTATCCCAAAAATAAACTATGTCAAATTTGTGAAAGTTAAAAGGAATTGAACCCTTATTATTAAGTAAGGTTGTAATATAATATATATATATATAATAAGTAAGGTTTTTGAGCGAGGGTATTATATGAACCTCTTGTTTTAATCTGGCTCCGTCTCGATCTTGTAGGATATATGTTTCTATATTCAATTTATTTTCACAAGAAAGAGTAACGGAAAATTTCATAAATGTTAGATGTTGAGGATAAAATATTAAGTAGCAGAAATTAACTTTTTCTTATATGAGGAGAGAGCAATGGACATTTTGTAATTCGAAAAAATTGTGGAGTGAAGAGAGAGTATTATGAATAATAGGAGTAATCAAAAGAATCTTATCACCTCGGATAATTATTTCACTATTGTTATAAAGTTATATGAAAATCTACAGAGATTGTGAATTATTTGTGATGTGGTGGAACTATTCAAAGTAAGCAATTCTTTTATTTGAGAGATTAGATGTATAGGTCATATAGTCGGCAAAGTTGCCTTGAGACTCAAGTGTTGTAATTTGAGCGGCATACATTAACAATGTGTTAGAATTTGCCATATAATTGGGATTGGACTCTTTGATGATTGATGAACGTGTTAAAGGAAAAAAAGTTGAAATCCGGACAAATGGTGGAATTGTGGTTGGTTGAATTGTTCAAATACATTAGTTTGGGAGCATTTCACCTTTAGAGAGAAGCTTATGTGCAAATGGTAATGGATAAAATACAAGTGAGAATGACAGTTAAAGTAACACAAGCATTAATAAAATGTCCTCAAAATTTAAGGGTTCCTCCACACGGTTCATAATCGGATGAGGAGTAAGGGTCTTAGATGTGAATACTAGCATTTATTGGTCCAAGACACCAAAAAGACTAGCTAGGTTATCTACTTAAGAATGTAAGATATACCCAAATTTTTTTAATAAGAATGGGTGGAAAAAGTGTCTTAATCCAATGTTCGAATACCACATATTACACCACTGAAACAAGACATGTCATACTACAAAAAAAATTCAACGACTTTAAGCAAGAGGGAACAAGTACCCAAAATTAACAAAAGCGAATACGTAGAGTATATTTAAAGGCACGGGATAACTCTCTAAAGAACTCAATTGTTGATGTAAATACTAGAAAATCAAGTAATTAGTCACATCTTCAAATAGCATAATAGAGTGGCAAATTTCCTAGCAAAGGAGGGGCAAGAAAAAAGTATTTTGGCGCACCCAAAAAGTTGATAATGCTTCTAGTATTTACAAATGATATTGTTTGGGCAGACATTTTAAAAACTATGTTTGAAAAAAAAAATTGTAATACTAATAATTATTTGGTAGTTACCACTAAGTTGAAGGTCTATTGGAAATGGTAAAATATGTATTCATTTTATCCTCTCTAAATCTCACTCTATGAGACTGTGTCGTCGCTAGTATTCAATTTTTTCAGGAAAACACATAAACTTTAGGGGTAGGGGTGGGGTTCTATGGCCCCTTTGTTTTTGCTCTAAGTGGTATAAACACAACTTCTATAACCAACACCAATTTTTGAATAATGCAATATATTTTTCGTACCACTCATATTTTGTGATATAAGTTTTCTTTTCTCTTAATATATTATTCGTTTCATAGTCTATAATTCTTTTTTAATTTCTATTAAAAGGAATTCAGGAATATAACTCAACAATCAACTTTCATTCAAAGAGTCTTATGCATGGATTCTATATATGTCGGTCATTCTTGAAGGTTGAGTTTTCTTTACTGAAAAGTATTTAAGATTTTTTACGATTTAAAAAAATAAAATTGAATTGAATGTGGATTGAGTATTATTTTTATTATTTTAGTAAAGAGAAAAGACATAAAGACACCATTAAAGTTGTCCCGTATTTGCATAAAGACACCTTAACTTTCAAAGTGTCCTATCACCCCACAGAACTATTTAATATCTTTGTAAATAGGCCATTTCGACCCATTCCCTTGTCTATGCTGTCGCGCGTGTTGCTCACTCCCTATGATAGAATTCAACCCGACCCGACCTGACCCGACCCTATTCTTTGAAGAAAAGTCATCTTCTCCTTTCCTCTTTCTTATTTCTCAACTTTCCCTAAAATCTGAAGAAATAGAAAAGTTTTCTCGTTGTGTTGGTGTTGATAATCTCGTTGTTGATGTGTCTTGGTAAAGATTCTTGGAGGGACAAAATATTGAAGGTCTAACATGTTAGGTCTCTACATCATATGATAAAGATCTTCTTTTTTTCCGATTATTATGATTTTAGGGATTATTATAATGTAAAAGTGTTGGAATCGACCTACTATAGTTGCCATTATTAAGATTTTATAGTTTTTCATTGTGTTATTGAATAATTGCTACTGTTAGGGTTAGGGTGTTATGTTATCGACTTAGTGCGACTGTTAGTGATTAGGGTTCTGTGTTATCGACTTAGTGCGACTATTAGTGATTGTGTTTTAGGTTAGGGTTTGATGTTATCCACTTAGTTAGAATCTTATTTTTTGTCTCTTATACATTGTAGACTTCAATTTTTACATTATCGACTTGTTTACAAGTCTTTTGTTTTGTTAGTGATGGGGCTAAATGTTAGTGCTACTGCTACTGTTAGTGTTTTTTCTACTCTTGTTAGTTAGTGTTTCTGCTACTGTTGTTTGTTAGTGATTATGTTTGTTATGTACAGCTTGTTAGAGTTTGTTCTTGAAATGTGTGTTTGAATTGTGTTTGTCTTTGTTACATGCTTTTTCAGGATGAATTTTACTCTGATAACATTAAGATGGTATCATGGGGGGTAATATAATGTGGTCCCCCACCTAAATATATTGAAGGGCATGCGACAGAATTCCTAGATGTAGATGTTGATAGGATGTCTTATTTTGAGTTGAGGGACTATATAAAAGAACTAGGATATACAATAGATTGTGATTTTTTCATCAAGTGGGATGGGTTATTTGTCCTTGTTGATAATGATAAGGTTATATTTGACCTTTTCAATATGATAAATAATGGGGATACAGTTGAGGTGTATGTTTTTCATGGGGTTAGTGAAGTTAATCAGGCCCACTTGAATTGGAGTTTGTCCTTAATGTGAGTGATAGTGGGTAGGTGAGAAATCTTTTAATGAGGCTTCTAACCCTAATAATCAGCCTCCTACTTCTACTTTTCCTTCCAACCTACAACTGGTCCTTCTAAAACTTCCAGCACTCAATTTGAAGATCAGCCTACTATTGTGCCTCCACCATTTCCTTCCACTGTGCCTCCACCCTCTCCTTCTACTGTGCCTCATTTTTCCTCTGTACCTTTATCTGATCCGATAATAGATAATGATCCAACTGATGATGAAATGGAAGATGAATCAAGATCTGAAGGGAATACTAATGAAGATACTGAGGTTGACAGTGATGTCCATCAAAAGTATATAGATATAAGGACAAACAAGAGGCATTTCAAAAGGTCACAAAAGAGAAGTAGATGCACTACTTCAGATCAGATTAATATTGATGAAAAGGCCCAGATATACGGTATGATAAGACAAATATTGGTATTAGGGAAAGCTTAGTTGGTAAGCTAGGAGGTGATAAACCTTACTATCTAAGTGATAAAACTCCTAGCTTTGAAATAGATGATGAAACAGGTTGGGGAGATGGTGAAGAGGTTGATCAAGTAGTGAATAAACCTGTTAGAAAAAAGAAAATCCCAAATAAAGTTGTGTTTGATGCAACTTCTGAAAAGATTGTTTGGGAATTAGGATTGGTTTTGGAAGTGTTGAAGAATTTAGAGTGGCAGTGACAAGATATGCAGTCCAAGAACATATTCAAATTGAAAAATATGTGAATGAATCTAGCAGAGTTAGAGTGTGATGTTGTAAAGAGACTTGTCCTTGGTTGTTGTGTGCAAGTAATGATAAAACTAGTAGAGATTTCATTGTTAAAAGATACAACCCTGTCCATAAATGTTTGACATCAACTCATAACTATCTTTGCATGCAACTCAAAGTTTTTGGCCACCAAATACAAAGAAAGAATAACTCAACAGCCAAACATCAGCATTGCGTTGTTACAGGACATTATTATAAAGGAGTTGGATATTCATATTGGTAGGACAACAGTGAGAAGAGTTAGGACTAGAGTGTTACAAGAGATCATGGGTGATCACATTGTGGAGTATGGTAAGATTTTTTATTATAAAGCTGAAATTTTAAGGAGTAATTCAGGTAGTACTTACATAGTGAAGGTTGGAGAAGAAGATGAAACTGGGCATAATTTTTTTGAAGGATTTTATGTTTGCTTCAATGCTTTAAAGAAAGCATTTTTTGAAGGTGCTAGGAGGTTGATTGGTTTTTATGGGTGTTTTCTCAAAGGTGTGTAAAGGCCAGTTGTTAGTGGTAGTTTGTAGAGATGGAAACAACCAAATGTTGCCTATTGCTTGGACAGTTGTTGAGGTTGAGAATCAGTTTACATGGACA